TGACCCAGGAAGTGGGATAAGAGAGAGGAGGTGGCCACGGGGCTTACAGTTTTCAATGGGGTGGCCAGGGCAGGCCTCAGTGAGAGATCTGGCAGAAGCCAGGGAGTGAGGCATGAGGATATCTTGAAGGGGAGAGAACAAATAGATAAAAAAATAGTCAAGGCAAAGGCCCTTGGGCAGTAGTGCATTTACCTTGTGCGAGGAACAGCCAGGCAGTGTTGCTGGAGGAGAGTAAGGGAGCCAAGGAGAGCAGTAGGAGAGAACGTTAGAGAGATAATGGGGTCAGATAGGGTAGGGCCTTGGAAGCCATCTTGAGGACTTTAGCACTGGAGAGTTCCCGACAAAGGGAGTGCCTTGTTGAATTAAAGAGTTAATTTAATAACTGCTGTAGGCTGGGCACAGTGGCTCACATCTTTAATCCCAGCACTTTAAGAGGCCAAGGCAAGTGGATCACCTAAGGTCAGGAGTTCGAGACCAGCCTGGCCAACATGGCGAATCCCCAGCTCTACTAAAAATCCAAAAATTAGCTGGGCATGGTGGTGCACGCCTGTAATCCCAGCTACTTTGGAGGCTGAGGCAGGAGAATCGATTGAACCCAGGAGGCAGAGGTTACAGTGAGCTGAGATCATACCACTGCACTCCAGTCTAGGCAACAGAGAGAGACTCAGTCTGAAAAAAAAAACCTCCGGTAAAGTATGGAAGCCTACAGGTCTATGGGCTTCAGGACACTGACCCAGTCACCCAGAAGTGTGCCAACTCTCAGGCAGAGCCCAGAGGGTCCTGTCAGTGGCCTCTTGTGCAAGCAACACTCCCTTGAGTGAACTCCACTAAACCTGTAGAAGAAAACCACTTGCTGAAGAGCAAGGACCTTTAATGCAATTACACTCAAACATTAAGAATGAGTTATGAGCCACTAATCATGTACCATTCATCCTCATATTCTCTGTGGTGCCAGAGGATGCCTCTCTCCAAGCTCCCACCACTCAATCCACTCAGAATCTAAGAACAGAGCTCTTGCTGTACACACAAGGCTACAAGACAAGCCCCCTGGAGATTGTTCCTTCCAATAAGATTCTTGCCACTAAGCTCCTCCTAGGAACATGTCTGGTGCTATGATCACACACACACAGGAGGGAGCAAAGAATTTTTCATTTTGGAGTTAGAGAAGCCACTAAAACAATGTGATACTTGAGAAATGTAAAGGCATTTTAGATAAAGGGAACAGCAAGACAAAAGGTTTGTAGTGAGAAAATATCACAGGTGACAAGCAAGTCGTGAGGAAATGCTGAGCAGGCCAGGGAGCACCAGGGAGCCCTAGGGCCTGTACAGACAGGAAGTACATCCCCTGTTAACAAGGTGACAGCCCACCTGACATCTGCTGAGGGTTGCCACGCTGGAACGGGTCAAATATTACCAGGACTTTTGATTTCTTCAAAAGAAGCTGGAAATCTGGGGCCTTACGTAAAATCTCCTGACTTAAAAATAACTTTGGCATCTAGATCCCAATAAATTCCAACATGATATGGACCAAACACAATTGCTCACAAGGGACATTCAGCCTGAAGGTGGCCAGTCAGCCACCTGGGACCAGGAAGCCTGGCTGGAAGTGAAGTTGGAAAGTGTGGGGAATCTATCCTGAAGAGGCAGAGGAGTCGGGACTGCCTTTTGGAGCATTTGAAGGGAGGGGTGTCACTTAAGCTTAAGCTGAGGAGTGACATGGACAGACTGGCTCATTGGGAAGATCCTTGTAAAGGGTAGATCCAGTTTGAAAACTGTTGCTGGAACAGTGATAAAGGCCTGAAATAGAAGCATAGAGGTGAAGTTGGGTGGTGGGGGGAGGAATAGATCTGAGAGATTTTTTCACCATCTCATAAGTGACTGCAGGGCTAGATAGTGGATGGGGAACTGGGGTTACTAGACACAGGAAAGGGAGTTGTCAAGAGTAAGTACTTTTAGCATTCATCTCTAATTTTGGCCAGGCATAGGGGACACTGGGTGGGTGGAGACCAAATACAAAAGACAACAAAGAGTATTCTAGTTTAGGATTGCTCACCTTTGGCACTGCTGTCACCCTCAGTAGAGTAAGTCTTTGTTGCGGGGGCAGTCTGTGCATTGTATTAACAGCAGTATCCCCGACCTCTACTCACTACATTCCAGAAGCAGGCCCCCTGCTCCAGTCATGACAACCAAAAATATATCTCCGTATTCCCAAATGTCCCCTGGGATATAAAATCGCCCCTGGTTGGGAACCATTGATCTAGAATCAGGAGGGAAATTCCCTGTTTTCAACTTCTCCTTTTTCTTTCGATTGCAGTGGTGTGAGGTTTTTGCTTAATACAAGGTAGGGGACCCTTTGTGAGATTTTTGTCTAAGGGACCAGCACTTTTAGCTAAGCCCTTGGAATATGCTGGTGTCTGTGTCCCTTTTGGACTCAGGAGGGTGTCTCTAACTGGATGGAAGGAGACCTGACTTTGGAAAGAGGAACATCTTAGTTTTCTGCCAGACATTTTCTTGTATATGCCCTTTTCAGACTCCAGTTACAGAAAAGGACGAAGCCTTAGTTAGAAAGAAGGGCAAAGGTCAAAACAGCTGACCTGAGTGGCCTAGGTACACAGGGCAGTGAAGAACTCCAGCTGCCCAAGGCCAAAGTGAAAGAAAGGCCACCGGTAGTCTCACACCCAAGTTATCAGGGCTCGAAGGGTTAAACTTGATGTTGACTCATCATGATTTTGATTTACACAAAGCTATACTGAGAGCTCCTTTTCTACTGCAGTTCCTGGAAAGCCTTCCATCTATCTTCATTCTTCCTGCAGACCAGGGATATGGCCTGATTCAATCCAAGACACTCTTTGAATCACAGTACCCGGGGGTTACAAATAAAAGTTTTATGTTGAGGAAACAGCATTCCTGGCCCTTTCCACCCCCTTCCAAAAATTTGAAAAATCGTTGCATGATGTTTAGGGTTGGGAAGAAAGGAAAGTAAGTATATAGTCTTAAGGACAGCAGACTGGAACTATCCTGGTGAAAAGAAATCAGGTCTCCCCTCTCCACACTGCCCTTTGGTTTTTTTTCTCACAATGTTCAAATTCTCTAGGCTTTTCTGGAAGCTAATGACAAGTTGCAATCTCTGTTTTTCTAATCATTTGCTACCATTACTGTTTTATTAAGCACTTGCTCAATCTGTGCCAAGCAGTGCCCATGATGGCACTCAGCCACTCCCCAGGGGCTCCTGTTCAACTGAAGACTCCTTAAAAGGCAGATGACATAACCATTTGGGGAACGTTCTTATAAACTTATTGTATAATGTTTATAGCAAATGTCAACAAGTGTATATGTCTGTGGTGGTGGGGGAGGAAAGGCTTTGGGTTACACAGGGGCTGACCTATTTGGGGTGTGGGATTTAGAAATAATGATAATATCTCTCAGTTCTACAGGCTTTGATACTTTACAAACTGTTTTCATAAACATTATTTTGTTCAATAACATATACAGGCCAGGATTATTATTATTATTATTTGAGAACAGGGTCTCACTCTGTTCACAGGCTGGTTTTTAGCTCCTGGCTCACGTGATCCTTCCACCTCAGCCTCCAGAGTAGCTGGGATTACAGGTACATGCCACCGTGTAGCTTCTGGAATTTATTCTGAATCATTAGCCACAAGAATCAACATCCTGAGATTTAGCACTGGCAGGCCCTCCTCCTGGAAGCTTCCCTTGCTCCTTCTCTCCCATTAGGCACCCTTTTTGTATCCCACAATTCCTTGCTCTTCCCCTTATTGCTATTCCCCTTATTCCTCAAACTGATTGCAGCTCTCTGTCCGCAGAGCTTGCTTTTGATGCCTTCCACAGTTCCTGGAACGATTTTATAAATATTTATTGAATTTGAGGGTTCTACTCTTAGTTCCAAGAGGGGAACCTTTGTTTTGAATAGCTTAAACATCCCTGTGCCCTCTGGGTGGGGTCTAGACTAGGTATATTATCAGCATTTTTATTGCTATACTTTTTGTAACTATTTTCAGTTATATGCATTGGCTTAATTAAACCAAAATACACCTCATTATGGGTCTCACCATCCATCTAGATAGATATGACTCTTTTTTAGGAGAAGGTGATAGAATGATGCTCCCTTCCCATGATTCCACATTCTGATTCCCAACACCTGTGAATATATTCCCTTACATTGCAAAAATGACTTATCAGTCATGATCAAATCACAGATTTTGAGATGGGGAGATTATCACGAATTATCTAGTCAACATAATCTAATCACAAGGGTCTTTATAAGGGAAAAGGGGAAGCAAGAGGGTCAGAGTCAGATACGATAAGGGAAGCAGAGGTCTGAGAGGTTCTGCAGCAAGCCAAGGAATGTGGGCAGCCTCTAGAAGTTGGAAAAGTCAAAGACACAAATTGTCTCCTAGAATCTCCCGAAGAAATACAGCTCTGCCCACACCTTGATTATAAGTCAGTGTCACTTCTGACGTCCAGAACTGTAACATAACTGTTAAGTCACGTCACTAAATTTGCAGTTATTTGTGACAGCAGCAGCAGGAAACTCCTAAGGACTCTTATTTTCCTTCCTCCCAGACTCACTGACCCTCATAGGCGCCCAAGCATCAATGTGTATTCTTTCGACTCATCTCCCATCCCCTGAGAAATATGTAGAAGCTAGTTGTGTGCTTTAAAATACGCAAGTAAGGTACTGTCCCTCGTGTTTGGAATGCTCCTTTAAAAATCAACATGATGTATTGCCAGCTTTCAAACATGCCCTTTGTCCTTTTCATAAAGCACAGTGTTGCCAGGGTCCCCAAGCATACCCAGAAAAGTAGGTCTGGTATTACTAACGCTGGAGTCAGCGCTAGCAAAGAAGGGCTCAGAGGTCAAGAACTGGAAGCCAGGTCTCCAGACTCCCAGTCCAAGGCTCTTTTCTGCAGGTGACCCTGTCCTGGTGTCCGGCAGGGCACGCAAGTGTGCAGGCAGCGGCGACGCCGGCTCCGGCACGCAGAGGAGGGGGCCCGGGCAGCGTCCGGACTGGGCGGTGACCTGGTCGAGGAAGTTCTGTTCGGTCAGCGACCGGACCCGGGAGCTGCGGGTGGGCCAGGTGTCGCGCCTTAGGAACCGCAGGAGCCGCCATAGCCGCTGGCGCCCCGCCCCGCCTCCTCTGCCCGCGCTCGCCGGCCCAGGTTACCTGAGGCCGGTGGGCGGGGCGGCCCTTCCCGTCTGCGCCGGCCCCCAGCCTCCAGGGCGGCGGAGTCGGGAAGTGGGAGAGGGAGCGAAGGAGGCGGGGACTGCCGAGGCTCCAGCCCAGCCGGGCTCCAAGGCGAGAGGCTGCATGGAGCGGCCGGCGCGGCTCTGCGGGCTGTGGGCGCTGCTGCTCTGCGCAGTCGGCAGGGGTGGGGGCGCCGCGCCCACCGGTGAGTGCGGTCCCCGGGGTCGAGGAGAGGCCGGAGGGCAGAGGGCGGTGAGGGTCACGGTTGAAAGAAAGGGGAGGTCACCACTGGGTGGAGGGCCGAAGCTGGGTGGGCGCTGGGGGCTGCCCTTCCCGTGCGGGATCTCCAGGACCCAGTACTGGGGTAGGTTCGAGGTGGGACCCGGGAGCGGCGGGGTTTTCCCGAACTCCTGGTGCGGCCGAGGTGGCGGCGGCGAAGTAGGAGGACGACAACTTGTCGCACTTCCCTTGCGCCGTCGGGAAGAGCCAAGGAGGCTGCCGTAGAGGGGAGCAGGACGGGGTAGGTGGGGGTCGGGTTCCGGGTCCGGAAACTTGCCCACGGCGTCGGAGGGCCGCGGGTCAGCGCCCGGAATGTCGTCTGTGATCCCTGGAGGAAATAAGCCAGAGCCGGCGGGTCGCCGACCGAAGTCCAGGCAAGCTGAGAACGCGCCGGGGCTCTTTGCTAGAGGCCGCGCCAATCCTCACTATCTAAGGGTGATTTTTGCGGATGGAAGTTGAAGGGAACCTCTAAACACCCCAGTCCTTGTTGAAAACGGACGTGAGGATCATGACCTCCTCTGGCATCCAAGAAATCCTCTGGGGAACCCAGAACAGGGTCCCGACAGATGCGCTCCTTCTACCCTCCGCTGCCCTACTCTCTTTAATAAACCTTATATTTTGTGATAATTGTAGATTTATCGAAAAGTTGCAAAGATAGTTCAGAGAGTTCCTATATATCCCTTACCCTGTTTGGTAACTTCTAGTTAATCAGCCCGGCAGTTGTGAAAATTGGGAGCAGCTCCTGGAAGGAGTGGCCTTCCGGAAGTTTTTGGTGACCCATGAAAGCCACAAATTGTATGGGTTTTATTCACATTGACACAAACATCTATATGCTTATTGCATTTTTTAACAATGTGCTTTGAAATCCAAGTTGAAATGTTGATTAGGAAACCTCGATGCCCTCTGTGGATTCAGCCAACAAAATATATAGAGTCTGCTCTGTGTCAAGCAGTGTTTTAGGAGCAGAGGATGCAGCAGTGAGTGAAACAGATCAGGTCCCTGCCCTGTGGAACTAATATACTATTGGCGGGGGTGGGGAGTGTGTAGTAAAATATATGATATGTCTGAGGGTGCAAAGTAGAGAAAAACAAAGCTGGGAAGAGGATTGCCATTGTAAAAAGGGTGGATCGAGAAGAAAACACGTGTTACTGAAGGTGGCATTTGAGCAGAGACCTGAGGAAGGGTTGAAACTTGTCCATCAGTATTATTTAGTACTGAGCCAGGCTCTGTAGGTTGGCTTAGAACCTGATAGTGTATAGCAAAATTCTTGCCCCAAAAGGGCCTCTAGTTCATCTGGGGACACCTGATTTCCATAATCATATGGGGACATTGCAGTCCACAGAAGGGAAGAAATTTGTCTAAAGCTACCCATCTCATTAGTCTCCTGATTTTCTTTTTGAGATGGAATCTCACTCTGTTGCCAGGCTGGAGTGCAGTGGCACCATCTCAGCTCACTGCAACCTCTCCGCCTCCTGGGTTCAAGCGATTCTCCTGCTTCAGCCTACCAAGTAGCTGAAACTACAGGGGCCTGCCACCATGCCTGGCTAACTTTTTGTATTTTTTAGTAGAAACGGAGTTTCACCATGTTGGCCAGGGTGGTCTTGATCTCTTGACCTTGTGATCTGCGTGCCTAGGCCTCCCAAAGTGCTGGGATTACAGGTGTGAGCCACCTCACCTGGCCGCGTCTCCTGATTTTCACAGCGCCACTCCAGCACCCTCCCTCCTACAGATTCACTCCCACACACACCTGAAACAACAGCTGGCCATCTAGACAATACTGGCAACTCCCAACTTCATCAGTTTTGTCACAATGGTTTGTTTTTATCTTGCTTATTTAGAATGCAGAAACTTCTTTCACCATTAAAAGTATTGATCGAATTGCATTGAGGTATGGTGGAAAAAAATTAGATGTCTTCAATGAGGAGACTTGAGTTTTAGTAGTTCTGATATTTACCAGCTGTGGAGCTCTGGGCTGGTCATTTCCTCTTTTGTGCTGCAGTTAGTTTTCTCATCTGGGAAATGAGGTTGAACTCTGTAAATTCTAAGAGTTCCTCCAGCTCTAATCTTCAGAGTGTTTATAAAAGTGATTAGATTACTAGCTTAGTTTAATTGGTCCCACTCAATGGCCCACATTGTGGCATGTCGTAATTAAAACTAGCATGTATATAGTGTTTATGCTCGGCAGTTTTCTAAGTGCTTTATTTGTGCTTTATCATTTAATCTTTAACAAAAACCTAACCTGTAGGTGCTGTTATTAGTCCCATTTTGTACATGAAGAAGCTGAGGCACACTGAGACCAAGACCCTTGCCCAAATTCACGTAGCTGGCAAAGTGGAAGAGCTAGGTTTCCAACCCGGGCAGCCTGATTCCAGAGGCCATGCCCTTAACCACTGTACTCAGTGCTCCTACCAAGCAGAAGTAATGGGAGTCCTTGACTGGCAGAGGAGCTGGATACCTCCCAGGGTAGCAGAACAGGACTGCTTGGGACCCACGAAAGTATGTGCAGGCCACTTGTTAAAAAGCTAATGATACTATATTAGGCCAGGTGCAGTAGCTCATGCCTGTAATCCTAGCACTTTGAGAGACTGAGGTGGGTGGATCACCTGAGGCCAGGAGTTTGAGATGAGCCTGGCCAACATGGCAAAACCCCATCTCTACTAAAAATACAAAGATTAGCCGGGCATGGTGGTGGGTGCCTGTAATCCCAGCTCCTCAGGAGACTAAGGCACAAGACTCACCTGAACCCGGGAGGCAGAGGTTGCAGTGAGTGAAGATCAGGCCACTGCACTCCAGCCTGGGCAACAGAGCAAGACTCTGTCTCAAAACAAAACAAAACAAAAAAAAGAAACTAATGATACTATGTGGGAGACTGCCTTTATAGTGGTTGGGCTGTGTGGTTCAAACAACTAGTACTATAGGCATTCAAAAGAGAAAAAACTGAAGGTTAATAGTTTTATGGAAGACATAAAACTTGAGCTAGATCTTCTGGATGAATGGGATTTGAGTAGGTGGAGAATTTATTCTGGGTAGGGGAAATAGCAGGAGCAGAGACCCAGAAATGAGGGTAAGAGTTATCCTTTGTGGTCAGGAAGGAGCCTGGCTTGGCAGGAGAGTGCATTGGTAAAGTCAATCCAGGCAGAGTAGCTTGATTTATCCTTGAAGGCTCTGAGTCCGGCACAGCATGGGGAAAATAACATAGGAGGGGAAGTAAGCAGTGAGACTTGATTGGGTAGGGGAACCCTGTGAGTGTGAAGCTACACAGGAATCTATGGTTGCAGTTCTCCACTAGAAAAATGTGCTGTGAACTCTTCCTGTCCAGGACCATGACTTACTGGTATCTTCCCACCTCGTGGGGCACAACAGAGCATATTGGCATGATTGGGGTAACTAAGAAATATGTTGCAAGAAAAAAAAAGAACAGGAGTCGATGCCTGAGTGGATGTAAGGGAAGGAGACAGATGACTCATATATGACTCTTGTGATTTCCTTCACTTTTCCCGAAATGTTCATGTGTCTGCCAGCTGCTGTGATTGGACAGGCGAGAGCAAAAACTATAAACTAAGCAAAATGCCTTCTTATTTAAGAGTAAATTGTGTTAACTCTTAATAGGATGTTGTGCTAGATGACCGTACAGACTCACTTGGGATTTGAGGTTTAGATACAGAGATACTTGCATTCCTTCCTACTCCCGTTTCTGAAGTCAGTGGTGCAGTCCCCAAGAAATGGTTGAAATTAGGTGCCTAAGGGAAGTTTATCAGGCAGAGGGGACTGGATACTTGTTCCATCTTAAAGGCCAGGGGTACATATCAATTCAACAGAAAACCAAAGCAACCCTTAGAATTATTTTGTCTCTTAAAGAAATAAAGCAGATAGCTAACACATAGCATTTACTGTCTGTGGGCACTGTTCCAAGCACATTACTTGTATTACTTCATTTAATCCTCGTGATAACCCTTTGCAAGAGGTTACTATTATTGTCCTTATATTGGAGATGAGAAAACTGAGAAATAGAGAGGTTAAGTAATTTTCCTGCTAGCAAGTAGCAGAGGTGGGATATAAACTCAGCCAGTCAGGCTTCACAGTCTGTGCTGTTAATCTCTACCCTATGCTGAAGTTATACATGAAGAGCTGTTAGAGACCTTTACAAGTAGTATAATCATCACTTATTCATGTATATGTCTAGGCATGTTGTACACACACACAATTCACATGTATTTGTATATATTTAAACATTTGGAGATTATATTTAAAGTTTCGGTTTCTGTGTTTTTTTAATTTTTTTTTTTTGAGACAGAGTTTTGCTCTTGTTACCCAGGCTGGAGTGCAATGGCATGATCTCAGCTCACCGCAACATCCACCTCCTGGGTTCAAGCAGTTCTCCTCCCTCAGCCTCCCGAGTAGCTGGAACTACAGGCATGCGCCACCATACCCAGCTAATTTTTGTAATTTTAGTATTTAGAGACAGGGTTTCACCATGTTGACCACGATGGCCTTGATCTCTTGACCTCGTGATCCACCCGCCTCAGCCTCCCAAAATACTGGGATTATAGGCATGAGCCACCGCGCCCAGCCTTAATTTTTTTTATTATAAAATACACGTAACATAAAATTTACCATCTTAACCATTTTTAAGCATACAGTTTAGTGTTACTAAATCCATTCATAATGCCATGCAACTGTCATCACCATCCATCCCCACAACACTTTTTATCTTGTAAAACTAAAACTCTGTACCCATTGAAAAATAACTCCACATTTTCCCCTGCCCCTAGCCCCTGGCAACCAACCACCATTCTACTTTCTGTCTCCATGATTTGTACTACTCTAAGTATCTCACATGAGTGGAATAATATATTAGTTGTCTTTTTTTTGTGACTGGCTTGTTTCAGTCAGCTTAATGCCCTCATGGTTCATGTTGTATCATAT